AGACACCACAAAAAACGGCCGGCCAGAGCCTACTCGACGGCACTTAGGATCGCTTTACAGAGCGTGCGACAGAAGCACGGAGCCTTGCCCGACAACGTAGGAGCATATTCGAAGAAGATCGACATAGCCCTGCCGGGAAACCACACACGCAAGCTGTATGACGGACTGGCCTGGAAAGAAGCCAGCATTCTAGCGCAACTACGCACCGGAATGGCAAGGCTGAACTGGTACCTCTACCAGATCGGCGCAACCGCCGCGGCGCTATGCGCTTGCGGGCAATCTGCAGAAACGGTAGAGCATTTTCTCTTTCGATGCACACAGTGGACGGCACAGCGGACTCGGATGCTCCAACAGACGGAAACGCGGAGAGGAAATCTGTCATACTTCCTGGGAGGAAAGCGCGCGTCCGACCCTAAGGATTGGTCGCCAAGCGTAGACGTTGTCAAAGAGACGATCAAGTTCGCCATGAGCACGGAGAGGCTAGATGCACAGATCAGCCAGCAGCGAAACCACACGCAACTAACATCATCAAATTAACCGGAGACACCCCCACGCATCCTCGTGCCATCGACAGCAGGACTAGCTTCGGCCGCCGACGATAGGACGTCGAACACTTTGAGAAACAACTCCGAGATGGCCTGCTACTAACCCCACGAGCAACCGCAGCATCGACATGCAAAACTAAAAAAGACACATACGGAGACGAACAAGACTTGTATGGGCTTCTGGGAGGCAAGGATATGAACGAATGTGGAGAATATGTAGATAATCATGCGAGCCCTAAACAGCTTAGCCGGGGCGTAATAAACTATGTATGTATGAACACAATCCTCGAACCTTCGCCTTATCAACCACATCCACCACAGATATCATGAGTAGGACAACAGACGCTGAGGAGCTGGCCAAGCGTCTGCAACTAGCAGAATAACGAGCTGAGAAAGAACGAGAACGCGCCGTGGCGGCAGAAAGAGAGCGACAACAAGAAAGAGAACGCGCTGACAGAGAACGAGAACGCGCCGACACTGCAGAACAGCAAACCCAGCATACGTCACTCGATGAATACATCGCTGCCTGCCATTCCCTCGTTTTCGCCAACTTTACAGTCGAGACGGACCGCAGACTGACTTCCAGGGGCTCCATCACAAATCCGCGTAACAAGTTGTGTCCCACCATTCTACGGCCATGGTCCGACTTCCTGCACCAACAGAGCATCGTCTTCGGCACCCTTTACGATACTTTCCCTGCCGATAGACGCTGTTTCGAGACCCCGTCGTTTCTTTCCGGGCTAGGAAGTAGGATCGCGAAGCGCAAGATCACTGACGAGAAGGCCCTCGAGTACTTTCTGCACAATAGCGTCGAGGACCCCGTTAGAGCAATTTTGGACGAGCTCAGAAAGGTAGAAGCAGTCAAGACTGTGTTCGATCTAGGCAATGGAATCGTCTTCGAGAACCACCCGCATGCGCTCAGCGACGTAGCTCCGGAGGTCGTGGAACGCAACCTCCCATCGACGCCCCCCTCCACACCGCACGATCATAAAGTCGACCTCCAACAGCTACGGGCCGATCAAATCTGCGTCTATCGAACCGAAGACGTCGACGGCGACTCAAGCACCCGATCGATGCTTTACGTTTCCGAATATAAACCACCGCATAAACTTACTACACCACATCTCCGCCTCGGTCTGCGCTCGATAAATATACATCAGGAAATAATTAATCGTAAAACGATCCCAACATCGGTCGACCTAAACGCGCGATTCCAGTATTACGCAGAGAGACTCACTATAACCGCAATCACACAGACCTATTACTACATAATCAAAAGCGGACTCAAGCACGGCCTATTAACAACGGGTGAGGCAATCGTGTTCCTAAAAATCGACTAGCGCGAGCCCGGGACGTTATTATACTATCTAGCAGAGCCCTCTGCAGAGGTAGAAGCCCACCCCAAGCACGCCCACCTCTATACGGCAGTTACTCAATACTTAGCCTTCAGTCTAATAGCCCTTAGCATGCCAAGCGAGAGACGGCTGCATAGCCAGGAGGAGCGGCATCGAGCCATCAACAAGTTAAAGATGTGGGGGGAGGACTTCGAGACGACGCTGCGATCAATCCCTGACGAAGAAAGGCATCCACCAGACAGCTCGCCAGGCTACGAACCAAAGGCGTACAAGAACGTCGACAGATCTCCCTATTTGCTCCGAGGGAAGAGGCGAGGACTTATGAGGGACGGGCGTACGACGGAGCAAATGAGAAGGGACCCGAACGAATCTTCCGATGAGGAGCCGAGGCGCGACGTGCCAGACACACCCACTCCTACGGAACGGCGAGCACGCGGAAAGGACTCTCAAAGCCAGGCGGGTCAAGGCAGTCAGGCGAAGCGACGCAGTAAGCGAGTCCTGGCGCGTCGGCCGCGAGGCGATGAAGACGGAGGAGAGAGCCACTTCAAACACACGCCATACTGCACCCAAAAGTGCTTGTTAGGCCTTGTCGGAGGCGGTGTGACCGACTCCGCGTGCCCGAACAAGTTGCTCCACTGCAGGAAGCCTGCCAATGACCGCGGCCACTGCCTTGGTCGACAACGTGCAAATGCTCAGCATCCAATCGACCGGACTGAATTTCTAAGGCTTCTCCAAGAACAGCTCGAGCGGTCCTTGGATTATGGTATCGTGTCCTTACGACAGAGCGGTGCTCGTGGAGTCTTGTTCAAAGTGAGCTTGCTTGCGTATGGCTACACCTTTGTCAGCAAGGGTACAGTAGAGGCATTTATTGAGGACCTTTAGCGCGAGGCAGCGTTTTACAAGCGTCTACGAGTTATTCAGGGCGTATACGTACCGGTATTCCTCGGATCTATCGACCTTCGAACGATCAACAGAACTTATTTCTATGACCACCGAGTTTATATAGTGCACATGTCATTTCTGTCGTGGGGAGGACAGGATCTCTACGAGATGAAGCGCACGGACTGTGGAGTTGAAGACCTAGAAGCCATGAAAACGCGGTCATTGAACGAAATCCGTGCTCTGGGTGTTGAGCACCATGACGCGAAGAGGGAAAATATGCTATTCAGTAAGGAGGTCAAGGGCATCATGCTGATCGACTTCGAAAGGGCGCAGTCTGTGAAGCCAGGTCGCCCCCCACTCGCGCAACTTGTGCCGAACAAGCGCAGACGGACGAGGAAGGCTCTAAAGGGCAGCGACTCAGTAGTGAAGTCAACGAATAGATATTAAGACGATGGGGTACTTCTCGGGGGACGGTAAGATAGTGGAGGATTCTGGGCATGTTGGATAATGTACAATTCACTTATTCGTCCAATCTGAGGGATTGAAAGTTAGCAATATTTGCAATCTCGCATGAACCGTCCATAGCACGCAGTGAGTTGGTTTGGTGCAGTGTTGACCAGCCCGAGCTGTGCCTTTATGGAGCATCTGTACGGTATTGCCATGTTCGTTTTCGGCTAGTCGTTGGTGCCTGTCGAGGGAACAATCCCTCAAGGCTACTGAGATTCGTTGGCTAAAAGAATAGAAAGCGTAAATGCGACACCTCCATTCCCTATACTATGGGCAGTTTATCACAGTCTTACAGGTGAAGGTGCGCTTAAGGTGAACCCTCTCCCCTCCCTCTATCTACAATCTTGCGAATTGCCAATGAGCTTGTTAACGAGATGTAGTTCATCTTACGTATGTGTAGGATTGGGATGCAATTCGACCTCAAGGCAGGGGCCCGGGCAGAGCCACTTACAAACCATACTTATATGAATCGCGGCCTGCCCACCCTACGGTTGGAACCTGCTTTTTACACCTTGCGCAAAAGTTTATATAGTTCAAATGACCTCTCCTCGAACCACGATTCGAACCAGCTACCCTGTGATAGGAACACCAACAGTATGACTTGGTTTTTACGTACCGCAACTTATTATCCTTAGCGACTTAAGGTCTCAGAGGTCCGGAAAGTTTCGTTTCCTGGCTAGCTATCCTGTTGTAGATATAAATTAGCTCCTTACCTGATGCGCTAGATGCATGGAGTTCGATGCCTATGCAGGATCGTTACCACAACAAATCACACAGCTACCCATCCTAGGCTTTCGTGGCTCCCACATCCACCAGTGGGCACGCAAGGGGGTGAGGGTTTGAAAGTTCGGCGTTATGTCCTCTTCTTACCCATCTGGTAGTACTAAATCGGACCTGCAGGCTGCAGATAGTTACGAAGTATATATGGGAATGAATATCATTTATAGATGACCTAAGGATGATAGTGTTAAACATAATTCTATAAGAGGTTGCTTACTACGGTATGTACGTAAGAGGATACCCCGGACGCCTAGGTCTCTGCGATGCTACCTTCTTTCTCTTTGTATAAGCTGGGACATACTGTATAGTGCTCAGCAATGGGTTCTCCTATAACGGTGACCAAACGGGTTGAGCGCGTGCTTCCCTGTTGCCTCTTCTCGGTCACTTGTCTCGCCAGGCTTCTACGCTATACGAGGGAGTACATTTACGGCGCCGGCGCCCCATCCCTCGACTTGCTCGCAGTGTCTCGACTGGATAACCTGACGGCGGCAGATCTGCTAGCACATCTCGCGCATTTCCTCGCACTAGGCATTGGACCACCGAACGAGCGAAAGATCTCCCATATTATAGTTCCAAAAGCGGAGTGTAAGCCTTGGCTGCCGTCTAAGGATGCTCCGTGAAAGAGGATGAGTGAGTGAATCCAAGCAAGGCTAGAGCTCGCGTCGTCGGACGGAATAGTATAGCAGCAGACGCATAGACTCATAGAGTTAGCCGCGTGGCTGTCAAGTTTTCCATTGAGTGCTGTAAGGCGACGGTACATACGAGTGTGGGGCACTAGCTAATCAGGCATTATTCCGGATTATTTCCAACATATCCGCGAATTTGGCAGACTTGGAAAAAAAGCTGGAGACCAATGTACTGTCGCCTTGCAGCACTCGATAGGATGATGAAGAGCAGCCGCTACTATATTTCCAGTAGACGGTGTACTGCGCAGCAAATGTAAGTAGTGCCCCGCCCTTAAAAGGTGTTTGGGCAACCCTGTAGTCTTCGAACCCCGTAAAGTACTTTGTTCTGCCTGTCCATAGTAGTAACCCAGAAACTGTTCACTCTAGCTTTTCGTCGACCTTGGTAGACGATGGTGGACTGAGCAGCACATGTACATGGATGAAACAAGGTTTGGTATTGGCGGTCGAGCCTCTTGGCATGATAGCAAAGCCGTTAGGTACTATGGTGGAGTGAAGCTCATGGCGACGCTGCAAAGTTGGCAAGCGGTGTAAAAGATCCCTGGCGTTCACCGCTCTAATCAGCAGGCGGTGAGCAAGCCCAAAGAGAAGTACTGGGTGATGAAGCGGATACTATTTGAGCAGGCGGTGAGACAAGCTGTGAATTGTCTTTTCGCAAGCGCAAGATCCCGTAGGCGGTCAGACGGCGTTGCTGTCGAAAACAAACATGGGCATTCCAGTTACGGCAGGCGGTGCGTCTTAGTATCCTTGTCGATTCTTTCGTATCTTAACGCTATCGCAAGCTTATTTGATGGCACACTCATTTGGTCTCAACACTGGCTGGAAAATGTAGACGACTATTCTTCTTGGAGAGGTTCAGCTCAATCGTGAACTACTTTGGATAAGGTGCACGCCATCTACTGCCTATAATGACGTTCACGAATCACAGCGGGCAGACATCACAAGAGTTTTAGAACACCTTGAAGAATGATGAAGAGGCAAAACCCAGATTCAATTCAATGCTTTAGCTTCTTACTGTAATGAACTCGGAATGTTTGCATACTTCGACCCTGGAATCGGCGAGAAAACTCGCGGTATATAGCCTTCCACGAAAGGTTTTTTTCCTCTTTCAAGTGGCGCAAAAGTCGATCTTCGGCTTCTGAGAAGCGCGGTTTACGCCTCCCCGGTGACCGTGAAAGGCCCGCTTCAGGCAACGAAGGACTCGAAGGCTGGAGAACCTCTAGTGGGTTTCGGCATCGATGGCAAATACTCGCCTTCTCAAATTGAATCGAAATAGTCTCTTTGCCAACCTCGAAAACGCGCTTAAGGACAAGGCCGGTCAACGGTGCGTCGGGTACGGAAAATTCTTCGAAGGTTGCGAGAATATTCTCATGCGATGCGTTCTCTGACTGCGGAGGGCGTGAAGTCAAGTAGTGCTGCTCAGCTCCACGTGGGGCGTGATGACGAGAGAGATGAGGACGATTTACAAGGGAGTCGCAATACCACAGATGTACGCATGCTGGCTGTGGTCCAACAACGGATGGGAAGAGATGGGCTAGACGAAGAGAACATTACATAGACTGCAGAGGCTCCAAGCCAGAACAGCTAGGGCAATATGCGGAGCATACAGAGCAACGTCATTTCCAGCACTAAATATAGAGATACATCTCGTGCCAATCGAACAACAGATATAGAAACACAAAATCGACACCATCAGCTGAGTAGGCATAGCCAAAGTCACCGCACGCAAAGGAAAGAAAATAAGCCCGAGATAAACAGTAAGAAATCGACTAAACGATAGACAAAACGCAATTAGCGAACAACATAAGCACATACCGCCCTTCGTCACGCCCGTGGTAACAAGGACCGCGCATCCACATCGCCAAAAGCACGAAGCAGGCTGAAAAAGAACATAAACAATGTCTGGAATAGAACACCAACGCAGTACACATTTATACTGACGGCAGTGGCATCGACGGTCAGATCGGGGCCGCTACAGTCTACACAACCACACAGAAAATAAAGAAATCTCACATAGGAGACAACACAACATCCACAGTCTACGCGGGAGAGCTACAGGGCATCGTTATAGCTCTCGAGATAGCACAAGAAAACAAGTGAAACGGAAATTACCAAAGCAAAGTCTTCATACACACCAACAACCAGGCTGCCATCAGATCATCAGCCAAACCGAAAGGAAAACCCGGCGCGTACCTTCTCAAGATCATCGCAGAGAGGACACAAGCTCTCCATAAACAAGGGCTCGACGTGGAGGTCCGGTAGGTGCCAGGCCACGTCGGCATCCAGGGCAATGAAGCAGCAGACATCGCTACCAAAGAGGCAACGGGATGGAGACCGAACGGATAGCCAGGTACTAGGGTAAACAAGCCGAGAGACCTGTTCAAGCTCAGGTCGATAATTAAAACATAGTCACATAAATAGTCCCACTACGCGTAGCAAACTAATTAAGGAACCGAGACGCGAGGAAGGACGACGTTCCGTCTCACGCCGAAGCTGATAAAGAAGGTCCTCGAACTCCACGAAGGCCTTAGTAAACGCTACAGCGTACTCTTAGTCCAGATACGTACGAAAAAGATCGGGCTCTAGAAATTCCTCTTCAACCGAAGAGTACCGGGTATTACCAACGCTAATTACCCCTGCTAGGAAGGACGATAAACGGTATCGCATGTTCTATTATAATGCCGTAGGTTTCGATAACTCCGGCGCCGGGAATTCAAAACCCTTCCAGGATAACATAATTTCCGGGTTATACTAAATAAGCGCAAAGCAGCCGCCAAGTATTACGGCCAGCTAGTCGTAGTGAGTATGTCAACAGAAGTTAAGACTGCGATGCTAAATAAACAGTGTCGTAGTCATAGATGACTTCCCTGAAGCTATGTCTGTAAGTCTTAAGGTACGTAAGGCTTCGGTGATCAAACATAATCTTGTCAGGAGGTTCTCAGTGAAGATAGCTGAAAGCGATCGTGAGATCTGATACCAAGTTGATTGCCGAAGAAGCTATGGAAGTCTGTCCTTGGGCCCGGCTCGATGAAGGTCAGGCTTGTTGTGAGGCGCCAATAGAAATGGCACAAATTTACCGTTAGTGCTAAGGAGACGACGCATGCTCAACGCTACTCTGGGATCGTGAAACCTGATTTATTGCCTGCAAAGAGGTAACTTGGCCTCGAGCGCCTCTATGACTCGTACTCAGGTCTGCGCCGTGACCAGAAAGGGGCTGAGTCAGTGTACCAAGCATATTAGCAAGGAAAAGCCCTTGATCAAGAGCAATCTCAAAACGCAAACGCTATTCTGTGAAAGAAACCATTCGAGTCCACAGCGGAGTTTAAGTTGGTCATCATCATACAGTCAAAGCCTTAGTGGCAGGAACACGGTCTAGTCAGAGCCGCCCATGAGTAAGATGGTGGAATCCAAAAGTCCCACATGAGCACTTTGGTGGTGGTCCACGGTAGCGGTATTTGCGGACAGCGTGATGCAAAGCTAGGGCGTTTTTACTGACGCCGCCTTGCCACTCGATGTTGTTGTTGTTGTTGTTGTTGTTGTTGTTGTATTTAACGCCGTGGCGGCCGGGCTAGAGCCCTTACCGCAGACCTCCCGAAGGGTATATGGCGTGGAGGGCCGTGAGCCAAGGCTACCTACTCTACAGTACGTCGTCTCTTTACATCGTCCTCCAAATCATGCCTTGTGGCCACTACGCGTTCTGTCTGTCCCCGGTTCCCGCTGGTGCCCCAGTTTCATTCTTTCCCAAATCGTCCCTTGGAATCGGGAGGTTCTTTGTAGTCCGCACTCACATCTACCTAGGTGTGGATGCTGCTACCGCAGACAGATCTTCTGGAAGAAGTCCGTCACGCGGAGAAAGGCCTCGAAGCCTCGTGGGTCGGTGATTAATCTCTTGAAGTAGGCCTCGAGAGATCCCATAGGACCTATGGGCTCGGGCATACTGCGAGAGTGGAGGGTCGGCCACCGTTGCCTCCTCGCCAGCGTTAGTCGACAGTAGACCAGGTGGTCCACGTCTTTCGCCTCTCCACAAGAGCACATCATTAGAGCGTCGTCGTGGTTGAAACGTCGGTGATATTGCTCGAAGTCCCCGTGACCCGATCGTGCCGCCAGCAGGTGATGTAACGTAGCCCGCGGCAAGGCCAGTTCAGGAGGGCTGGACAGAGCTGCCTCAAGCCCCAAGTCCGCGTACCGCGGCCTTCGCTCTTTATACCACCATCTCCTGTGCTGGCTTTGTAATTTTTCCCTTGCAAGCCGCTTGATGCCCGCTAGTGTTGCCATTTGACCCATCCGCGCCGGCAGTGTCGTTCCTTCTTTGGCCAGCCGGTCCGCGGCCTCGTTTCCTTCGATGCCCTGGTGTCCCGGGGACCAGTGCGTCCGTATATCAAATATCCTGGCCGCTTCTTGGATTTCGAGGAACGCGTCTTGTGACGAGTCCGGCGCCTTGCCGCGGATGCCTTGTATAACGCTGGTGTTGTCGATACATATGTGGATTGGATGACCGCGATTGGTGAGCAGAGCCCTTCTGAGGCCGGTTCGCGCCCCTTCGACCTCGGCGTCGAACACTTCTGCTAGTCCGAGTCGGCCGCACCCTTGCGCTATGCGTTTGGAGTCTCGGTAGATGACGAAGCCGTACCCCACGGCTCCGTTCGTCGCCCTGGAGCCGTCCGAGAAGACGATCATATGGCTTTCCGGTACTGTCTTTAGCCAGCGCTCGAAAGCTTTCGCAGCCTCTTCTTTGCATTGAACTACTATCTGATCCTGTGAGCTTGGCAGGTACTGTGATTGGAGGAACGTTGGTCTTCCGCATCTTGGCAGAAGTTCAGCCGTCCGTTGTAGTCTCGTCTGTTGCTGTCCCTGCTGGGAGAGCCGCGCGACTAGCGGGTGTCGGCGATCAATCCTCTGTAGTCGGACTGCGGCCCGTAAACGGACGCCTTCTAAGGCGACTTTGGCTGACGGTAAGCCGGCGTCTCGGAGGAGGCTACTGGTTGGCGTTGTCCTCCAGACAGGTAGAACGATCCTTGCTGCCGCTGTAATGACGCTGTCGATCTTCTGCACGAGCCCCTTCT